TCCTGAAAATTGTATATAGTATTGTATATATATATATATATATATATATATATATAGTATATTCGATAAGAGGAAGTAAAATGAAAAGAATAAAGGATGAGATACCTGCAATTATCCAGCAAGTTTAATGCTCTGAATGGTACTATTGTTATAAAACTACAAAGCAGTGTCAGAATGAGGAGAGTTATTTATTACAAACAACGGTACGGTAACAGATAATTTGGCATAAATATAACAAAATGTCTCGTTTGCGACGGGTCCTCAGAATTCCCACAAGCACACAAAATAATTAGCGGAACGATCCGATGGTAGGTGCGCTCTTCCCGCAGTTACCATTTTGAACACAGTAATTCACTCTAATAGGTCTTGTTCGTTTTTGACCGTCCTTTGCAAAACCCAAACATACTACTCAGAACACTATTTCAATGAGTTATAATCAGAAATATTCATTTTGAAGGAAGGTTGAGCGATTTCATACAATTTCCTTGAATCATTTTACCACGGAGAGGGTAAAACGTCTTTACGGTGACATTGGCAAATCAGGAAATCCATATATATTTCTTTTTGATTGTTCAATAACGATTTTTTCTGCCTTATCGGTCTTACTAGCAGGAAATTGGTTTGTCGCATGAAACCTTCATACTTTTAAATTAAACAATAACATAAACTTCTGAAGTACGTAGGAAATTTGATTTCTTAATAAGGCTCTACTAGCAATCCCTGATACAGCCATTCCAGCTGAAACATGTGGCACACAAAAGTCTGCTTCTTGGGCTGCGGCCGGATGGACATTAGAAAATCTAGTGTGATAGAATAGATATCAGACCGTTCCTAAAATTGGAATAAGGCAAGTAAATCACTACAAATAAACATGCCAATTGCATTTTAATGTTCGCATCCCGGTAATCGATTGAGATCAGGTAAAACGGTTTTGAAACTGAAACTATCAAAATGATAATAATTGCTAGTTGGTCAATTCATCATCTTGGGACAGATGTTTACCGATTCCTGATTTGTTATATACACAGGTTTATTTGATAAATCTGTTTGTTTGCAACTGGCTCATGCTTCAATGGCTGCTATCAATCCCTATGGCCCTACACATCTCATTATTACCTTTCCCCTGGCTACATCACCAGTGTTTTTACCCTTGCAGCTTGAGGGTGTCTAGTTTGTCCGATGGAACATCTTATAAAGTTTCTGCATAGCCTTTCCTCTTAGAGCAAAGCTACATTGTTATATAACAGGTTGAACCGAAGACAGTACGATCAGAATTATTGTGAACAACATTTTTTACCAAATCACGCTGGTCCCGGAAAGCATAACTACACCGGCCAAATACTTTGGTTTCTCAATGAGTATCTCATTGATTGGTAAACATTGTTCTATCTGCCGAGTGTACCACCCCTTGTAAACTGTGCAAATCCATTTTGAGCTACCGTTTGTCCAAAACATGAATTGGATTCCAAAACAGAAAATATAATTTAAAAATCGCTGTAGAGATTTGTTGCGTTGCAATCTACTGAAAAACAAAGAGAAGAAGCCTTATATACTGATCAGCCTCTTATCAGTAGAAATACTCAACTGAAGTTACATCACTAAGCCAAGCCTTAGAGAACAGAAGAATAAGTGTAAATAGGAAACCCAAAGAATCATATAATTCCGATGGTAGGCTTTATTTTTGTGGTTCTGTTGGATTCTTCTCGTGGATCGTTTATCTAAGAAGACTAAAGGTGTTTAGAAAATGTAATCAGCACGAATATTGAGGTAAACAGCATTTCCTTCGTCAATTTATTTTGAACCAGAAGTGCGTTAGTCACTGGAATCCAAGACAAAAAGACTATAGAAGGTCCCAAATCTAACTACCGAGACAAATAGCGTCTATAATATCTCATTTTCATTTTTCTTAGTGTTACTGTATAGTAAATGCATTTTGTATGGTTCTTCGTCCTCAGTTCACAATCCGTCAAGGTCTAGGCAAACCGGCTGGGGGTAAACGACTGTTGAGTTTCTAGCAATTCTATCCACTGAAGAAAAGCTAATCACACTAATTATGTCATAAGACCCTCGTAACTCATCGCTTTAGTAGCAAATGCATAAGTTTGATTGCTTTGGTACCTATGCAAACGTGTGTGGAACGGAAAGTCATTTTTGAGGGACATGTTATATGAATTTGGATTACACCTGTATCTCCGAGAGGCTTACTGATTTTCAACCCCACTAATGCAAAAACGGTTTGATTTTTTAATCTCAAATGACTCAGAAAAATTAGACAAAAATGTATGACCGACTCTGCGTTGATCTGAGTGCATAAAACTTGCAAGTGCTTGTGGATGGATTTAGAAATATTTTCCGTGTTTGATTCACTGGTCTTTTGTTGTTTTTTCTTACCTAATACTTGCTAAACTAGAGAAAACTATTGAGAAATATGTACATTTGAACTATCAGAATCAAGTTCTTTATTACTTTTGACGTGTCCACACAATATGATGCAAAACATGTCGTTTTATGTGCAATAACTACCGTCCCTTTACATTCATGCAGGTTGTTCGTCGAAGGTCGAGAAAACGGAGGTCTTGTGGCGCTGGTTAGTGCAATTCAACGTCCCAATCTGTTCGGTGCAGTCGTGGCTGATAACCCTGTGTGTGATATGTTGCGCTATTTTAAATTTTCTTCAACCGCGCGTTGGATCGAGGAGTACGGAAATCCGTACCACGAAGATCGATTCAGAAATCTCCTTAGGTCAGTATTGTTGATTTTGAGTGTACTGTTAGCTCAAAGTTGATTTTGTAGGTTGTCGCTACATCATTTCATCCGTATTTAGGATAAAGAATAATGTGGAGAGATTCCCGATTTAAAAATCGATGCTGGTTGTCTCATGACATGCTTTGTTCAAGCTCTAAGTTTTACGCATTTGACACGTACGGGTACAGCTAAGTATGAAAATCTTTTAACTAGCGGTGTCAGTTGCTGTTAACTGTGGATAATGTAAATGTGACGTCTCCGGAATACACACAAGAAACTATAGTATGGAGTTCTTGTACGTTGTCATTAGTAACCAAAATTTTCCCACAGCTGTTAATTATGCCAGAGGCCACATACTAAAGGAAATCCACAGTTACAGTGAAAAAATTAAGTCATAATCAAAGTGTTAACTTGACACCCAAAATCTTGCAGACAGTCGGTTCAGGTTGTATAGCATATTTAGTCAAGGTGACTGCTACTTTTGTTCAACCTGATTGCTTTTCAAGACAGGCTTGCACATATAACCGTCTTGGTATCACTGAGTATTTCATATTAATAAGACAACATAAGTTAACCACTCGGCAGCATGAAATATCTACACCACTGGTGGCGAGGTAACGGTTCCATGAAATTTTGGGACAGGTTAAAGGTTTTATCCGAATTACTAGATTTTTTGAAGTTTGTGCGATAAGAATCCTCTGGGGCACCGCTGATAAGATTTTCCGCGAAGGCATCGGGATTTGGTGTTTTCCGTCCAATGAGATTAACTCACACCAACTTGAGAACATCACTAATTGCGTCAGTAAACCTCATTACAATGAGATTTACTGATAAAGATATTTCGTATTGGCTAAACAAAGACCATTCTTTGATCAGGCTATTGTCTTACTGCTCTCATGATCATAATCTCTGAGCAAAAAATTGCATTGGACCAATCGGATCGAAGCGGAACACAGTTCCCAAGACGTTTCACGATCTTTAGTCCCCACGTTAAATATGGGCCATTTCCCCATTCATAAAAATGTTCTAGATTGAGATATCTATGGGGAGCGAAGAAAAGTCACCTTCCCTTTGAATGGTTCATTCCTTTGTCGTCCTGCAAGTCTACAGTGAAGTGGTTCCAACAGTTATTTGCCTAAATCGTCCTTTGAGTAGATATCCAATATGATCCTTTTTCAAAAGGGCACTCTATGATTAACTGTAGTTATGAGTAGAACATTTACTGTTCTTCTGCTTTTGCGTAGCAGACTGTGTACCAGGCAACCGTTTATTGTCATGTTCATTAAGAGACTAATAATGTCAAGATATTTCCGAAGAGCAGATTTCAAACAAAACAGCTCATTTTCAGGGATTCATGTTCATGACCATACATCACCATTGATATCACTACTTGGGAATAAAGTTGTCTTGGGGAAATATAAAACAATCACATCACAGATTACAAGAAACACTTTCATTATGAGACCGTAGATCGGATTCACCTCGATCACATAATTGTTTGTCCACTTGCCCTGTCATCGAGATTATTCGCAGTGCGGTGTGTGTGTGCGTGTGCGTGTGGAGGGAGAGGGTGGGCCAGGGAAGTTTCAGCGCTCGCATAAATTGCCTTGGGGCACACAGAGGGATCGGTTGATGCGAGCGAATTCGCACCGCTTCTGCTGTGATCAGCGTCCGATAGCGAATCTGCCTCGATAATCGCCCACGAACTTTATACAGGGAGCGAAAAGCCTCGGATATGTTAACGGTTTGATTTGTTTCAGCTAGGTGTGAAAACACAGGTGAGTGAATTAATCGTTCCGGTGTTGAGCCACGCAGGGTAGTGTTAACCAATCCGCTCGGACAATCACCTGACCGCCCGGCCTATGTAAGTTGTGCTACAGGAACAAGTAAATGAGTATATACAAAATGAGACCACAGAGTCTGGAAATTTGTCTTTCAGTAGCAAATACACATTCGGCTTGAACGTGAATAACACAAGAAGCTTGCATGCATAGAAAGCTTATCGATTGCGTCCGATAATGTTTTTTGTGTACTCTCAGCTGATGGGTCCCCCTTGAACGGTAAAGAAATGTACACCCATTTTTCTTACCGTTGATGTTTTATAAAATGTGCTCTGTGCACTTAGTCACTTTGTTGATCAAGCGTTCCGGATACCCTTAACATGTAAATGTCGATTTTATAGCACGGAGCTCTTCCTTTAGCGTGTTCTCACTGCAGATCTTTCTTGCCCTGCCCGTAATACAACGAGCCTAGTTCCTCTTTACCTTAATCGACATAAAGCTTCAGAAAAGGATGTGATATAGACGATGGCTACTTTATTCTGCTCTAAAATTCATCTTACCAGTAATCGCTAAGTTTCGGAGCTGTACATCAACACATGATTTCTTAACTGGCACAATAAGGCAGAAACAACATGTTGTTTGACTGTACATCACTCACATGCAAATGTGACAGTACTGAATGAGCACACTTTTATTACTGTCAAGTAAGTAATAGCGTGAAACTCAGGTCAGGTTTCCATCTTCTATTTGCAAACTACTCTGCGAACCCGAAAATATTGGAAGTAATCTTACATTGTATGATCATAAGCTTGCCCGATCCGGACCATGATCCGTCATCAACATACGTTGATCGATAAATCACGTCAGTTGTTTGTATTATGCGTTCTATGGTACCATGGATGATTGATAAAGGTGTAATGTGGTTGAGTTTGCTGGTTGCAACTGTGGGTGGCGCTTGTGTGGGTGGGTGTGTTTAAAAAGGTCGTAATGTACCGATGTTGTATCAGTTGAGGTGCTATAGTAGATGTAGTATGAGTAGTACGCGCTGAACACGAAATGCGAATCACGGACGAGGCGTAAGCACTGGACCACACTGGTACTTGCGCAATATCCTACATGACCGAGACGCGAGGAAAAGGCCACAGGAGTAGTAGTTTATTTATTGGAAGAAATTAGATGCATTAAATAATACGTAAAAAACAACTGATCGATCAACCAGGCCTCTGCCGATCGCGTTCTAGTATTTCTGGTGTTGTTCAGCTTCTGTTTCGGCCGCATGGTTTCTGATTGACTGGTACAATCGACCTATGGTATGTAGTCCAGAGGTTTTGACACGCACACGCTTGCTGACGTCACCCGTGAAGCCGGATTGATCACAGTTGTCCGAAAACTGTCACGTGTCGCTCCATGTTATGCGTCATCTCGTAGTCTAGGATCACCACAGATGCATCGAAATCTGCATTGACATAAGTTGTCCAACATCCTAATTCAACTCACACAATTGCTATCTTTCGATAACTCAACTGGAACAAGAGAAGTACGTAACGATCTAGGAGAAGGCTATCACAAAATGATACTTCATGTTTAGTGTGTTTAGTGCATAATTAATTTGATTAAGAACAATCTAATGCTAATTTGTGTTCTATACAGTATCCCGCTATCGCATTACTTCAATTTTTGGTGTAAATCAAACCAACGGGAACCATATCCGGTTAAGTATATTATAAATTCTGATAGTCCAAATCTAATGTAGTCATTCAGCTGATACTCTCCAGCAAACTCCGCCCTGTTTCCTTTAGTTGTTCTACACAAAAGATTCATTCGAATACTGACCACATGAGTCTATTCAATGTAATCAATTGTTCTGTCCTTGCTGCCTACAGCAAGGCTGGTTGATCATTTGCAGTATGCATTTTAACCGTCCCGGACAGATAGGTGTTAAGGCGACGCCATGGATGAATCGGGAACAGATCTTTTATACATACATATCACAGGGATAAATGTGAACTTCATTCATCGGCAACGTTTGTCCACATCCTGTACTATTTTATAAATTAAATTGGAGTGTCGGAATGGGATTATCGCAACCCATTGAAGGTTCAAAACGTATGTTGAGCATAGCTTCGCTGATACTCCATGAAAATAACAAGCAGAACCTGGGCAATCAAAAACAAGCGAACTAGTTACGGCGGACCATCCCAAACGAAAAGCCAGGCTACAGCAAAAGAATGAAATCAGAATGTACAAATTGGATAAAGGAGCTAAAATCCTGCTTCTAAATGGATTGAATTGCTTGCAGAAGATGGAAGCTATATTCGATGAGTGGTTCAAGCTTCTTTTAACAACTGAAAAAGAATAGAATCGCCCAACCAGACGGCACATGATCTGAGATATCGAGAAGTTTAAAGCAGAAAGGAGTCAATAACACAAGGATTACTTGCAAACTGATTTAGAAACCGGTGACAGCGATTCCACAGTTTTATGGATTATCAAAACAAGAAGCCATTCGCTACATTAGGATATCTGTTATCCACCGTAAGGTCTACTAGAAAAATGTTTGGCTATGTTACCGGAACCCCTATTTGAATCAGAATGGTCAAGGAGTGTACCACAAACGCATTCCCTTTTGTTAGCAGCATGTTTTACTCAAACTTGACCAGTTGAACAGTATTCTCATTAGATGTTTGCTTAGTCTTCACCAATGTTTCTATCAATGGGACAATCGAACATCCTTGAGATTTTGTACAAAGGAACAATTGTTCAAATTGTTGTTAGGCAGATTTGAAGTTTGCATGGCGATTGTGAAATCTTCATTACTCTCGGTGGGATTCGACCCCACGCATGGACGCCGCCTACGCCTTGTACACACGCTCTACCAGGTGAGCTACGAGTTCATAATGTTGAGATTAATGGGAACAATCGCTTTTTCTCTACCCGTGTAATTTACAGTTTAAGTTCAAAAAGCAAGTTTATCAACAAAAGGATGGTAGACCATGTACTAATCTCTTGGACTATGTTTGCCGATTTATTTGTAGGGAAACTCGCAAATAAGTGGTTCAAATCGTTTATTCGCGTTTTGTGCGATAAACACAATAGATCGATGAATAACTTTTGTGTGACTGAAGTAAAATAAAAAAAAACAGATTTAACCAAGTTAAATTTCGAACGCAATAACACACGATTCGCATTAGAAAAGGAAAATAACAAAAATCAACTAAACCTGTCTGAATCATAGATCGGTACAATGATCTAACCTAAGGAAGACCACTTGGAAAGATCAATTCCTATATTTTTCAGCTTTCGTACCTCTTAAATTGAGGGGGAATTAGGTACACTGCTCGGCAGAAAGAGCAAGTAGAAATTTCAGTGAGGACACGATAAAAGAGAAGCTCCCCATCTTTGCACGCTGTGTGCATCCAGAGTGACTTGTTAGCAAGACGATTCAGTGTAAAGGCAATACTTTAGAGACCGAGGTTCGAAGCAGCAGCTACGCATTGATTTGTNCTTTCAAAGAAGGAGTGCAAGGGCAACTATTCTTTCACTTGTTCCTCTGAAGTAACGTGCCAATAGTGTACGGTTCAGGGGAGGTTTGAAAGAATCCTTGATCATCACCCTTCGTGGTTGAACCTAAGAGCTAATAGATCACTTACTCATGCAATATTTTGGCGACTCTTTGACACAAATTACACCGTGAACAGGATCAAGGCGTCCCACACTCTGAGTTAAGTCCATGATTGACTATTGAGACAGATCTGTCTGCGAGTCACAGAGCAAGCGATAAGAATTCGTTTGCAGAAGCCCCTTTTGTATGAATAATTTGTGCAAATGTTGTTATAGCCCATCCCTCACATTTCAACGAATCTCGACGACGGGATGAACGAGCAAACAACTATTATCATTGTGAATTCCGTATTCGATTTTCCGATGAAAATAGCCCTAAACAATCTTTGATGCGCATTTTCTGTTCTCGGAAAATATTTTTATTTGGATACTCAAATATTTGCAGACTTATTGGTGTAATTACTAATGACGATGGATGTGCTTTTTAGCCACCATTTATTTCATTTGAAATACTATTTTGCTAAAATTAATAAACCCTCAATACGTTAGGTGGTTTCTGGTGACAGCATATCGAGCTCCATTATTCGGCAAAAACAACAAAATGTGCACCGTAGCAAATTTAGAGGGATTTCATATTTGGTTCATCATTCCGCCTGTTTTTACGTGCTATCTATGCCCGTACTGAACGAAACTGTCTTCTATCAAACGATTTGACTTAATACAATTCACAGCTACTCTCCCGTGCACACATGCCAAAAGTTGCGGGAGGCCGGAGATCAAATCCCCGCATTCCTGATCGTAACTGACCCAAAAGCCTCTCGTGTTGAACCGGTGCATTCGTTCAAAATTGCCGCCAGTTTGCAACATGAATCGCAGCTGATGCACGCCAAACCTGTATTGAATTGGGTTCGGGACCAATCCAAATCAGATGTGAGCCATTTTTGAATAATTTTGAACGATACGTTGTGATTACCCATTTATTGTCAGTAAATCATTGTCTGATTCTGAACAAAATTGCGATGCTCTATGAGTTATTTTTCAAAATTCATTTCTTCAGTCGAAACAGAAATCAAGAATACAACATTGCCAATTATAACGAAAATCACGACACAACAATACGAACCAAAAAGTGTGGGGGTCAACTGGCGAAGCAAAGCTAGTGTGACCAATCATTCACGTTATTTGAATAGATTGGGTTTCTGATGGTGAATAGTTAGAGCCTCGGCAAATTTCAAGAACCCGGTGTTTGTTGTGTTGTAGGCGATCTGAAAGGCGTGCGCTGGAATGACTACAGGTTTCTGTTCAAATAGGCGTTGTTTAGTCAAGAATCGAATTCTTTCCTGCTCAGTCTACGACGTACCTGTTTTAGTCTTGTCACTCATCGTTTTTTAAGTCACATCGGATGCAAAATCCAGTTAAAAATAAACTCTCTCTTGGTCTTTCTAGCCTGAAGAAGTTTCTATCCATTGGATCTACTACATTTAATCGCAATACTGAATGTGATGTCACATTTCTATGACCTCTCCTTGTATCGATGAGCTTCGTATTGTTCATCCATATTATGGTAAAGAAAATAGTGATGTAAGAATAAATTTGAAATACGTTTGATATTTTTTGTTTCAACATGAAGTTTAATTGTCTATAACTGTGTTTATTCTAAAAATCTCGCGGAACAATCCATATTCAAATCAAACGGTTTTCCTGTATTCAAGATGAAGACTGAATGTTAAACTCGGAACAAAAATGCATACCATTGTTTGGAAATGTTCTTTTCTTCTAGAACTAGATGATTAAAGTTACTCTTCTTCCATCAACTCTGTCCTTCATTTTAGTTACAACAATGCTGTGAGACCTGGGCCATTGTACAGTTGTTTCTTTCCCTCACATGGACAGACTGATGCTCCCCAAATCGTTTGGATGTACGACCAAACGTGTTCAACAAACAATTCTCACGCTTTGCTACAGAGAAATAATGCTTTTTCGCATACGGTATAATACAAACAACAAATGTGAATTTTGTTTTTCATTTGCTAGCAATTGACTGGGAGTGGCGGGGACTACGGATAGAAAACAATTTCACAAAGCTTGTAAAAATGTGTTAGACATTCACTGTACAATCAGCGTAATGTAGTTGCAACTAAGTTTTCCTATTCAGCTATACAGTTTTTAAAATGAATGCTCTCCCTCGATGATTCTTGTAAGAGAACAAAGGATAAATAATGTAGAACCGATGTTCTTAGAAGAACATTAACACATTTTTTCTTCTTATACTGAAGATTTCTCAGTTTTGAGGGCTGAAATTTTCCGAATGAGCAAGCAAATAGAAGAAGCGTAATTCCGAGGTAACAAGTGGTATACTATAGATGGTATAATAAAAATTAAGACTGTGATAACTTTATTATGCATGGACTGCAAGTTATTGTCTCTCCAACCATCCCTAAATTAATTGATTATATTTACCAAGCACGTTTTATTTTTGCTTAGTTTTGACAAACATTAGTCGAGCCAAAACAAATAAATTTAAATACATAATATAAAAATAATTAATTCAGTTCATAGTTTTTCATCTACTGCAAGACTATCGACAACATGGCGGTAGTGGTCCGTTTGTAATGTCACCAAATTATCACCTCGGGCGGAGGTGTGTTAAAATTCCACCACCACCACCACTTGACTTTCCCCATTTGTGTGTTGCATGACAGCCCTTTTATTGAGCGCTTCCCCTTCCTAGAAATTGTATCATTGTGTATTCAATAAAATGAAGTAGAAATGAAAAAGCATGAAAATCACGATTTCTTCGTCACGGTCTCTTCAGTGAGTTTTCAGCAAAGATGGGATATTTCAGATTAAATATGGTTATCAGTAAAATGCCAATTCGTAAGCAATTTAATGTTGACATATTGCTTATGATGAACAAAGGTGGACGGCTTACCGGTATATTGAAATGTTTTCATAATGCACTTGTAGCCCTTACCTTCATTCAACGTTTCTTATCGCTCAAATAAAAAGGAATGTTCCATGCGAACAAGCATGCTTTTGTAACTTCGTCATCACGTTCTTACGCTTAAACGCACGTTCACACACGAACACACAAAATGCGTTGGAATTTCGGTTGGTCGATGAATTAGATTTCACTCGGGCTAAGTGATCCGTGCGCTGATGCAAAACGAAAGGGCTGGGATTATGTGTGTCACTGACCGGTCATGTTTGTGGAGTTCGGTCAGTCTTCACATAGATGGATGGGTCACAAGGTTTCACGTGATCATCGCGCGAAAAAGGGACCGTCACAATTTCTATATAGTTCAGCTGGAGTTCAGCGGGACAAAGCTGGTTTGCTCTAACAGGTTTTTTCTGTGCATATATATCAAGGTGACGATCTGTCTGACCTTATCATCAGGCCCATAACACTTTCGAATTAGCTGATTTTTTATGCAGTTTCGCTAGATCGCCTCTAATAAACGCATCCATTGACAGTTTGGTTGAACTGGCCTCACACATCGTTCGACAGATACTACAACAAACGATGTCAGTTAATTAAACAGCATTACCAAAGGTGGTTAAAACACGACCGGACTGGTGCTAATGAATGTCATTGTCGTTCAATTGCCCGAAACAGGTCAATTGAAGTGCACTGCCAACGCAATGTTTCTTGAGAGCATTGTGTCCGAAATGAGTCGAATTTACAAGACAAGTAGGTGTCAAGAGATTAACACTGCACAATAGGATTCAAAATATTTGTGTGACATAACGAGCATAAAGGAAATAGATGACATTCCTTTTTCTACTAAATGATGAACGTGACTTTGCTCAAATCCTAGACACGCCAAGAACGGCTTTGACCATAAGATTATCAATATACAAAGCCATGTGGAAGTTGATCACAACATTTTGTATGTCATGTTAACCATGGTGAAAATGACAAAGCAAAATTGAGAAACATCAGCCATATAGACTGGCTGGTACATAAAGGATCAATTTTATGCTGATTTGTTTGCAAAACCGTGTAGTAGTATAGGATAGGGCGGCTTTCTATGCATAGTTAAAGGCTCTCACACCTCATTGTGCAAAAAACACGTGTGCGATAGTGGGCATTGACGCCCATAAGGTATATTTTGAGTAAACATAGGTTCCCTCTCCTACCTATAGTGTTAAATTCTCTCGTTGCAGAAGTGGTTATGGTTCACACGAAAAATTGGCATATCAAAGGGGAGGGGAAGTGGCATAGTCAAGACCTACTTTTTCACGTATACAGTTAGTTTTGGTTTGCTAGAACGTTCTAACATACCGGAGGATGCGAAGTACTATGGGTGCAACATACCAGATGACTGGCTGTTTCTTGTTTATCAAAGGACTTTACCTTCATTCGTTTGAAATCCTAACCATTTAGCTGTATTACAATATTCCGATTGTTCTGACAGTAGGTATACTATCACTCAGTGATTTGGTGATCACAATGAATTAAATCATAGTGTGCTTTGCCTATTAAGTATGCTCCAGGTCCTGTTACTTTTTGACATTGGTGCTTGTCAGAGGAAGCCTAAGTTTGCCCTGTACGCTTTCAAGCAAGCTCTCCAGAAATCAAACACAGGAGGGTGCAACCCCCAAATTCGGAGGTACATTTCAAAAGGAGAGGTGTAATAGACACCCAACATTCCCCCGAGAGTTCTCTCGATTTGAATTTGAATTGATTAGGAATCTTCGGCATCGCGAGAACGTGTCGGCTTTTTCTCGAGGGTCCTGAAAAATGCAGTTTAACGAAAAAGCTTTTTTTCGTTGATTCATCAACTGGCTAATACGTCACATTTCCATATGCTGTATTTGGTTGTGTTATGCGTGCTAATGGGTGTTGCAATGTAATGTGTGTTAATGGTTCGTCAAGTTTTACCTTGAAAGAATCAATCGTCGTGGCCCAAACGATGTGAGATGGTAAGGAATTCTAGACAGTTCACACTCTGACGACGACGGAATGATGTTGATAGTCCAGTAGAAATTTTGGAGTAGTAACTTGAATGGATGTTCTCGTAGATGAACGTTTGCTGACAAAGTCAAAAGGGGGCCACAAGGGTAGTTTGGGTTGTGTAATACTTAGTACACTAAAATCAAGTCTCCATAAATCTGACGAAACTGGACAGAGTATTGTGCCAGTGACTGCAGTCTTCCAATATATGAATCATAATAGAGTCCTGTGACCATCTTTCTTGGCGAGCCTTTGTGGATGCTCCAAAATCTTACGATCTCATTAAGAGCATGAATTCCAGGTTTGGATGGCATACTCAATATGCGGCCGGATGTATTCCGACAGCAGACGTGGGAATAAAGGGGGTTCAAAACGACCAAAACATGTTTAAGTAGACCGATATATTTGAGTGCTGTTGATGACACCCTGCCACAGTGAATAGAACAGCTCAAGTCTTCGTGGACTATAACACTCCAGTCATTCTCTGTTGATGCATGCGGCAGTAGTTCATTTCCAAGGATCTAAGAAAACCAAACATGATGGCGTAGCGAAATTATCTTGTAATTGGAAACGTTAAATTGGATGTCGTTCTCAATAGACCATTTGTGAACTGCACTCAGTGTTTCTTGGAGTTCAAGTTAACCATCACTTTTGTCACTGTCTTCCGTATTTTGGCGTCGTCTGCGAACAATAATATTTGTGATCCCAGGATATTCGGTAAGTCATTTAGGAACAAGAGAAAAAGTCGAGGACCAAGCACAGAACCCCGGGAGACTTCGCAGGAAACGGCGACACAGACTCAAACCGACATGGTCTGTTGTTGAAGAAACGCAGCAATCTAATCAAGCACGAGGTCCCTGATACCAAAATTGCAGTTCACGGAGCAGTATCTCGTGGTTTACGCAATCGAACGTTTTGAAAAAGTCCAGGTAAACCACATCAACTGCATCAACTTTGTCTACTGCCCTTGTCCATTCATCGCGAGCCATGAACAGACTGGTAGTACATTATCCTTCTGACGGAATCCATGTTGAGCTGGAGAAAGAAGGTCGTATTTCTCTGTGTTCCATCAGGAAATCTGCAACGATGGATTCCATGACTTTGGATAGAACGGGTGAGTGTCACCGGGCGGTAGTTGGCAGGATCACTACGACGGCCGCCATTATAAATAGGAAAAGTAATGTTTTTTTCCACGATTGTGGCAGCATAGTTTCAATAACCATTCTTTGGAAGAGAAAACCTGGCGGCTCAGATATACTATTGGTTAACGAAATAATCGGTTGAGGATGTAGTTTGTCTGCAGCTGGAGCTTTATATTTATGTAGACCCAGGAGCTTTGATTTCACTCTGTCGGCATCAAACGTGAAGGTACTTAGTGGTGGATTTAGAAGAAAGAGTATCCAACGAGGTAGCTACAGTCTCGCCTTGTTGGGTGTGCCGAAAAGTTGGGCTTATGGGTTTTCTCAACTTTAGGTACTATACAGTTCAGAAAACTTCCAAATTAAACTAATATATTTAAAAAGACGTACATAAGACAAAAATAATGAAACCACTGACCTTTTATCCGAGTCCATGTTCCCTTAAGGCAGTGTCCTATAAATGCCATCGAAATAATTATACATATGCTAAATTCAAATACATTTCAGTAACTTGTGACTTAGTAAAATAAAATAGGGAAAATATATCAAAATTAATGATTGCATCAAAATAAGACAACATATGGGTAGGTGATCTATTGCCATCAATTTTGCGTGCTCTCATTCAAATGTAAACACCTATGTATACGCAGTCTGTTTAACAAAGAAGAACACAAGTTGAAATGAATCATTCTAACTAAGTGGTAGTTGCATGATTTTCGGTTTGGTTACAGGCTAATTTCAAATTACATCAAAAAATTGTTACAGAAGTGAACTGGTTCAAACAATGTTGTAAATGCGGTGGAGGGATGGCGAAGAGAGGTTTAAGCACATACAACTGAATGTAAGAACGAAAAAATTGTTTGCAAGTACCAATTCTGTTCACATGTTTTGTTTCGATAATTAAATCGATGAAGGGAAAAGGATATTTCGCGCCATAATGATCAATCTAATGAACTGGCTCCGGCGAATTTGATTCCCAGTTTCTTAACACCAATTTTGAGTAAAGTTTTTGACAGGAGTCGCTAAGATGCAGCTGCAATATTTTCAGCACTTTTGGGAAGTTTTACAAAATCAATTCAAAATGGTTTCAAAACTTGAAGTTGTCCAATGCTGACCAAGATGAAAGACATTTTCGATGAGGTCCCCTAAAATCGCATGCGATTTCTGGTGCAGTTATATCTTTCTGCAACTGTACCAGAGGTTTTTGCTGATAAAATCAGCTGCAAAATTGATTCAAGCGCGTCCTTGAAGCCGTTGTTTCCTTGACAACTAGAGGAATCAGAGGCTGAAAACAAACAAAAGTTTATTAGTTAAAGAAATGCTTCGAAAATTAACAAAAATTCTCTATGCATTATACCCTTCAAAGTAAATTCCTTGAGACTATGAAGTTTTATCAACTTGTGTTTTGCGTACACGAACGTAAGAGAAAGGATTTTGGTTTTAAAAGGACCATGACTACTTTCAGGTCAATAATTCAGTGTTTCACTTTGGTTCAGTCAGCATTGCATTTTAAATAGAACTACTTTCAGAGAAATCAGTAGTTAGAGAAGAGTTCAATAAGAAATTACAACAAATATTGATGCGGAAGACCGTAATAGTAATCATAATAATAATATTAAGAAGAGGAAGAAGAATTGATACATACGGTGGAAATCGTATGATGTTTATCTTCCAGCCGTTTACCCGCTCCCGAAGGATGACTTAAGGCAAGAATACATTTAATTCACAGTTACTTGTGAGTGTCGGTGTGGGATAATTGAACTGACAATCATTTATGCTGCATCTTCAGGCACAATCCTCAGTTCTACCAGTCGATCATACACTCGGAAGCACTAGAATCAAGTTTTGCTCTTTTAGAGTTAATGTGTCGTGCATCAGATCTTCCATGCAGCTTATGGGCTAACTTGCCACAAACCCACTAGGCAGAAGTCATCATCCACGTTTATCTCACGGTTACTTATGAGAGATGATTTGGGATAATTGGTATTGATTTGAACTGACCATCCTTCAGGCCTAACCTTGTCAATCTACCCGAAATCGCTCAGAATATTATGTAGACACCCTCGAAGAGAATACTTCAAATTTATACAATACATATTGAAGAGAAATGTCTGGAACTAAATTAAGAGAGAAAATTTACCAACAGCATCACAACATTGGTGGCTGCTGTTACAACCGTCAAGCGTCTATGCCAACCGACTGTCCGAAAATCAGCAATTCGCAGTTGAACTGGAAATGGATAATGCAAAGGGACTTTCACTGGAGGGAGTTCAAACGCTGTCCACGCCCCAACACTTGGGAAGCTTAAAGGCTCCTTCGAAATCATTGTACAAATTTGGTGCGGGAAGACAAGCACAATTATCATGATATACTGGCCAAAACGTTTATCGCAAACCCTAAGCTTCTTTATAAGCATGTAAACGATTCCCGGAAAATCAAACACGGCGTTCCAGTACTAAATTCAGCAGGACGTGTTTCAGCGACAACCAAGGAGGCTGCAGAAATACTTGGACTCAGCACTCTCCAGTGGTCAATGGCCCTAGTAACGCTGGGTTCGTACTTCCCCGTTTGCTGGAACATATTCCTTACCCATTACTGACAGTTATCTTTTCTCCCGAAAGGATAAAGGCAAAGCTCCTGGCGTTGAAGAAGAACTCATCACCGGGTTTAGATAACATTCATCCACAAGCCATTATCACCCTGGCAAGTCACATAACCGGTCCTTCAAGTGAGCTGTATCAAAAACTGTTCGAGGATACCGTGCTTCCTCAAGTGTGGAAAAACGGTGTCATTTCACCAATTTACAAAGGTAGATGTCGTAGTGACCCAACCAACTACCAACCCGTCACTCTCCTCCCAGTGTTATCCAAAGTCATGGAATCTAATGTTACAAATTCGGTAATGGATCATCTGGAGAAAAATGACTTACTATCCCCAGACCAGCACGGGTTTCGAAAAATCGTTCATGTGCAACTACAGCCAATCTCCTGCTATGTTGCACTACTGAGAAGTCGCATTTTCCAATGTCTTCCCACTTTTTTGAAAACCCAAACCAATCGTATGTCTACTAACGTAGTTTCTGACTGTGCGATGTCGCACCCCCTAATATGTCGCAGTTCCTGATGCGTACTCACTTGGTCGTTGACCGATGTTCGGGACGACCATTGACCATCCACCCTGAAATGTCGCACTCAACCAATGGCGGTGCACCTAGTGGGATGCGTTCATGGCACTGTTCACTGATTGGATAATCCTTTCGAGGAAGTCACACCGATGCAAGTGATCGGAGACAGTGTCAGTTGACGTCAAAATGTTCATGCACTTATCGATCAGAGAGAAGCAGAATGTGTTGGAAATGCTGAAACAGCCAGGTGCAACTCAAAGCTCCGTATCCAAGTCACTTGGAATTCCACGAAAAACTGTCTACAATGTTGTATCCCATCGAACGACTATCGGGGAATTTTTGAACGCTGGTGCATCTGAGGAAAGATGCCACCTGTAGACCAACGAAAATTTCAAGGCAGTGAATGAAGCAACTTTGGCTTGGTTCACCGCTATGAGGGAAAGGCACGGAGAGTTCCCAATGGTGCAGTGCATCGTACGTAAAAAGGAAATCCAGCTAGCGCAAAGATTGCATCATAATGACTTCAAGGCTCCCAAAGGTTGGTTTCGCTCTTGGTCAGACAGATATGGTATTCAATCGTACAAAGTAAGAAACAAGCAACTCATGTGCACTACTTTATGCATCTTTGGGGAAAGTTTAAAGGTACCACGTGATGTAGAGGATGAGTTTCGAGCGGTGCCTCCGAGGTGTAGATAGAAAAAGCCTTCCATGCAGTTATAATTATTCAACGTTATTTCACAGTTGGCTGTCCGATGTCAACTACAAAATGGTTTCTCAAAGACGATCTATTTTACTGGTTATGGAGAAGGCCCCTGGCCATAACCAAGCCGCAGTATTTTCCAACGTCAAATTGGTACGACTGCCTCCAAACTGTTCTTCGATGTTACAACAAATGGATCAGGGCGATTTGGTCTTTCAAATGTTCGTTTCGGAAACATTTACTGGAATATGTTTTGTCTTTGATCGAAGATGATCAACGTCTCATGAAAGCCGAGGTGGACATTCTCATGGCCATGCATCTGGTCACGAAAGCTTGGGTGTCTGTGCACCCACGCGTACTGATCAACGCTTTCATGAAAGCAGGATTCAAATCCACATTGATTCAGCCGGTGATGCAGCCACCAGAGGATAAATGCGATCTGATCGAGGACTTTACACAGTATGTGTCTATTGATGACCGTCTTTTTGAAGAAGAAATCGCCTGTTAGGAACTTGATGATGAAGAAGTGGGTTATTCAAATTTTTTGTATCAAGTCTCTTTTTAATCATTAGATGAATTCGTTTCGCATCGCAAAGAAAAAGATGAATGCGAGGCAGTGAATGCCCTGAAGTTATCTCAAGCAGAGAGGTGCAGAAGTTATTGGATCAATTGAAGCTCTTTGCCGTGGCTAATTCTCGGAGTTCGGGTCGATTATTGGAGTTTCAAATTGATTGAAACAGCGCGTTTGTTGATTCCCAACGGAGAGCCAAGCTGAGGAAAACGACGATTTATGATTTTGCTAAAACAATACATCTTTACAATCTGGTAAGTGTTTTTTGCTATTCTGTGAGGCACTGAACTGAAATGCAAGGCATCCGAATATGATCATTTTTCCTACAGTGGTCACCAAAGTCACGGTCATTCGGTCTATCGATGGGCTCCGTATCACTAACGTGCAAACGGGTGATTGACTAGTAAGCGGGTGAGTGGAGTGAGCTTTCAGATCCGAGAGACTGATGAACACCGTCACACGGAAGCGCCTGTGTGAATGAATGAACGATACTCTCACTTGGCCTAGAGCCCCGATGAAATTAAACAGGTCACCTGCCAAAGGTCATCGTAACCCGGGTGTAAGGAGAGTTTGTGAGATGCACTTTTAGCTTATGAATCTTCTGTGGTGATCCTCTGCCAACACTTAGCATCAGATTCGGAACGTGTCCTTTTCCGGTGTCGACCCCCGATCGGGTTCATTTATCTATTGGCCGAATGGTTCAGCAGCAACAAGGGACCTGGTGCTTGCCCAGCTAACCCGAGCGAGAAACCATACCTTGTCTACAACCGCGAGTCTTCGGCAGGTCCAGGGAACTTTGACTGAGAAAGAGGAGTGCCATCAGCACTCGAATGGACTGAACGTGACAACAAGATCATCACAAAAAGTAGAAGACAATGTGAATCGATGGAGTGATCGTACTATCGTACTATCCACATAGCAACATGACATCTTAAAGTGAAAAAACGTATGGCTTATGAATCACGTTAACGTATCACCAGTTGAACTTAGGCCAACCAACAACGGTCATGACGAATGCATCAATCGGTTTGAACATACACTGGTAACAACAGGAGCGAACGAACGAATAGATGTCTACAGACGTTAAGGATACACATTTTTCAATGGAAGATCATGAATAGATTGCACAACGAACAATCATTTTGAATGTGGAAAGGAAGTCAATTTTCTGAAAATACCCCGTAACAGATATTTCACTCATTTTAGGTATTATTTCCTTCTCACTGTATGCGAACTGGTTCACCTTTATTTTCCTTGGATGGGTTAAAAATGATGTGATTATTATAGCTAAAACAGTTGTATATTATGGTGGAAGTCATATAATCAATTCTGTGGTTAGCCTAACGTTGCAACGGAATGGAGGAATATTTGCAATTAATATGGGATAATTGGGTCAGAAAATGTTCCCCTGAAGAAAAGTAGGTAGATTCGGGATGACTAGACACATAGAACTGAAAAGGGTTGAATGGCCAATGCAATGTACCGATAATAGACTGAGGACGTCATAAAATATTGAAATTTCTGCGATACATACAGGATACACAGGACGGTAGATTTAAATTCCGTTATAAATAAACAGTTTATAATCATAACGATGGGGAACAACTAACGGAATTAATCTGCTTTTCATCGATCCGGTTAATTTTATCACAAAATTGTCTACCGATGCTTATACTACTTATTAGCACCTACTACTGTTTACCCTGCTATTTCGCAGTTGCTGAAATCTACCAACTTTTTCGAATTCCCAAAGGGTGCGACATAGCAGGAGATCGACTGTAACTTGATTTTGGCTCGGGACGATTGGACTCAGCTGTAGACTAAGGCCAAGGGGTAGATGTTATTTACCTGGACTTCTCTAAAGCATTTGATAGGGTAACTCATCAATAATGATACGGAAGCTGTATAATTATGGAATCCGTGGACTCGTACTTGGCTGGATCGAGGAGTTTCTTTGCCCACGTACCATGTCAGCTCCTGTTTCCGATTCCCTTTCTGATCCAATAGATGTCAACCGTGGGGTTCCATCGGGATCTGTGCTAGACCCACGTCTTTTCCTTGCCTTTATAAATGATTTTCCAGACGCCCTCGGACCACAAAATCTGTTGTTTGCGGACGATGCAAAAATATGGAGGACAATAACAAAACCAGAAAGTTGATTTGATCTCCAGAACGCCCTTGACGAAGCCCACAGATAGTCTGTTTCCAATGATATGGAATTCAACGTGACCAAATGTAAAGTTTTATCACTACGTCACCCTGGTCCTTATTTCTACACTCTCGGACAGGAAACTCTGCCTCATGCACCATCCGAGAAGGATCTGGGAGTGGTCATTCATGCAAACTTCAGTTGCTCCATAAACTGTTTCACGGCATCATCGATGGAGTTAAAACAGGTTGGACTGCTCAAACGTGTTCTTGGATCGTTTGAGCCGGCTTTGTTTCCATGTCTGTTAGCCACATATATCCGTCTATACACCGAATACTCAATTCAGGCCTGGAACCCATGGCTGCAGCGAAATCGGAAGGCACTTGAACATCGGCAGAGAATGGCTACCAAGATGGTCAAAGGTTTACATTTCAAGACAAATGGCGAAAGATTACAGCTCTTGGGGTTATATTCGTCTCAATATCGTCAAATCAGAGTTGATATGATCTTACTGTATCGGATTTTCCAACAGCCCAACCATCCATGTGGATCTCTTTTGGTTCTATCAACCAATGTTTATCTCAGAAGGCATCCACTGAAGTTGGCACACCAAAAGAACCGTCTCGACTGCAGAAGCCATTCATTTTCTGTCAGAGTGTGCAGCAAATGGAACTCTCTGCCACCTCACGTGGTCTATGCGCCAAGCGTCCGGTTGGTGATGGTCTGGCAAACATTATGTTTCAACACCCAACTACATAATGTATTCTCCTGTGCTCGTCAAAACACTACATTACTATTTTACTTTCATGGATTAACTGTGATCTTGTGAATCGTGTCCCCAACCAAAGTGTAAACACCCTATGGGATTTGATAAACGACTTTGTAAGTTTTTTCCCATAATACAAATTTGAATTGGAAGTATTTAGCGTCACACTATGTGACAACGTTATCGACAAGTATTATTTATCCTCTAGCAAAGTTACTCAAAATGCCGACATTCACTGACTGTTTTCAACCCATTTGTTTCATGTTTCCATCTATAAAAAGATTAAAAGAGCAAATGTGATAAACTACGGGTGACATTTTGCACTTGTTTCAGGACCATTGGAATTGGTGGTAACCCAATAGTCGCACTACTGTCATTGTACAACACTAGAATTTCAGTTAAAATTCTGATGCTTGTACGTGGAATAACACGGTTCTACGAGGTTCCGCAGAAAACGGTGTTGTGTTGAATGGGACATTGTAGAAGAATGTTGCTACCAGTGGTGAATCACGGAAGGATGCCAAAACGTTTTATCTCATGTTTTGAAAAACAACGTATAATCCTGTCCTAACATGTGGTCTTATCTTGTTCAACCTCGGGACATTTTTCATCGGCATTTTCACGGGCTGTGTTCCTTCAATACAGAAATGTTCCATCACCGAGTTGTTCAGTGCCCGGCCTAGTACATGCATTGAAATTCACAGAATATTTTTGCAAGCCACTTGATGTGCATTACGATTTTATCGTTTGTTCTTATTTTGGCTAAAAACATTAGTGAGCCATTTATTTAAACTCTATTGGCCCTAATACGGCCAAATCGCGTTTTTCGGTTACGGAAGAATTTGCATCTTCCAACTCGCATTCTTTTTTTATCGATACGGCAAATTTAGTCTCTAATAGTCCCGAAATTAATTTAGGATACTGTCTGTATTTGTAGTGGTATTTATGGGGAGTAGAGTTTGCAAATGGAAAATTTGAAGTTACGAATAATGTATTACACTTCTAGTTTCATTCTCACCATGTTTGTCATAAAAGTATTCACTTATTGTCATATCCACCATTTCAAAAAGTGAAGCTAAAATGAACCGGATACGTTTAGCCTGTCTCCATCACATTTAATTAAACCGCCTTGACTGCATATTCATAATTTTGGATGCGAAAACTGTACACCGTAAATTGTGCTGACCAATTTTCATGCTAGATTTGAAAGAAGGGGTTCGAAAATTCTGCTACAAATTCGGTCCACAAGAATCTTATATTAATTGGATTGATCCAGCTTAATGACTCTAGTTTTGTGGGTCTACAATTCAATATGATTTTCACTGAGGGTATTGGGCATTGACCGGTGATGGCATTTCAACGACTTTCATGAACTATGATAAAGTAATTGAAACATGTTTTTGAATCCATGCTGCGATCCCCGTTTTACGTACATCTTACAAACTAACCTCCTAATTTTTAACAAGGTAAAACTCTGACCATAAATCAATTGCGATGAAATGCACGGTCTTGAGGCATATTGGGAATATTAATTGAATGGTTTCAGAACGAGAAAGATAACATCGTTGATAAAAGAGACAAAAAAATATTGAAAAGGAGTTGTTAAAAACGACCCTGAAATTAGGAATTCCTAATGCGCAATTGTCGAAAACCAGGATTTTGAGCAAATATAGTCACCCAAAACATCAACAGGAAAGTGTTGGTAGTCAATCATTTGTCAACGTAACCATGTTAGAGTAGATTTAAATATCCGCGTAGTTCATGAAATAGACATTGAGTTTGTAAGATAGAATAAATATTCCTTATAACGAGTAGTTCACTTACCATAAGACCTAGCACGAGAGAGGCCATTAACATGAAGAAAACCGCCGGCCATCCGTAAGGTCTTAGGAGACCACACAATAGAGGTCCAATTGCAGCCCCTTGAAGAAAGGAGGAACGACATGAATAAGCTCTAACCGTATGCAGAAAATGCTTTGCTTGGATGATCCAAAATACCTAAGCAGTATACCATACAACGGT